ATGCTTCATTCACTCATTTATTCATTGCTTCTATCTATACATTTGCTCAGGGCCCTACTATGCATCTGGGACTATGCTGGGAGCTAAAGACACAAAATCTACTTGGAGACATAAGGGATGTTCCTGAGATCACAGCCAACCAAAAGAGGAGACCAGGGAATGCAACTTAGCTTGGCCTTCAGGCCAGCACAGTGTTCTGTCTTCTTATGACCTATAAACGCCTACCAGCTGCCTCACAAATGTACTTACCCTGGCTGGAAGGCATTTGAGCTTCCAACCGCTGGACTAGCAGCTCTAGTCCCTTGTCACTCTAGTAGCCTTCTATGTACTACCAGGTTATGCATATTTAGTAGATGACTACTTAGCACTGACCACAGCAAGGACATGCGCTGGGTCACTGGAAGGAGAAGCAGCCACGTTTGAGCTGAGCACAGAAAACTGGATAAGGGGTGGATAGGCAGAGACAGCTGAGGCGAGGGCACCTCTGTAAGCAGGGTTAACCCCAGAGCAAGAGTGAGTGTGACGTGAGCATAGTGGTTTGGAAGTACAGGGTATACTCCTGGGGGAGAGAGGAGACAAGCTTGGCTTAAGGGGAAAGTGCCTCTATAAGAGAAGAGGGACATAAAGTTACAAAGACCTCATAAGAGATTTAAGCTGACATCTGAGAAGAAGAAGAGAGGTGTGGCTAGTCCCAAACCAAATACAGTGCACCACTCACCTCTGCCCTTTCAGCTATACAATTAAGAATGAGCAGCTTAAAACCTAAGGAAGGTACAGGCAGGAGAAAAATCAAACCTTAATGAAATGTGGATGCTATGGCCCTGTGAGCAGAATGACATTATTCCCAATTATATGAAACTAAAGCACTACAGGGCCACACAAAACAGCACAGTGAAATACCCCAGGTGTCCAACAGGAGTCTGCAGGCGATAGTGTACTGATTAGGGACACAGGCTGACAACACACTGACAAGAGGGAGAAAATCCTGCTACAATTAATATGTTTACTAGGATACTATCTAAGGGTAAAAACAAACAAGTATAAATGCACAGAAAAACTGAAAAAAGACACACTGCCTTCTGTGTTTTCTAAAAGAAAGAAAGAAGTTATTTAACAATAAAACAAAAGTAATAATAATAATAACCCCTACCTTCACTTTTACATTTTCCAAAGCTTTTTCATAATATCTCATCTTTTGCTTATTTAACTTTTAATGGCCACTATTAAACTAGTCTTCCGTCAAATGCCTTCGTGCCAAGCTACCTACCTATCACACAAAATCCTGAGATCCATCTACCTACCCGTAAAAGGACAAGCTTTCCACCAAAAGACCATCTTCCACCAGTGCCTTTGCTAATAATAATCAAGGAACTGGTCTTTCCCAATGTGATGGAGCAGAGACACATAAATCCATTTTTATAGCCAGAGGCTTTTAATAAGCAGTTTGAGGATGTGATGCTTCAGTTAATGATGTGATGTGGTGAAGCAGTATAAACCAGCCGTTAAACCCGGGGTCTGAGCCACAAGTCCCAGGGCCTGGGTAAACCTGTTTGGCTGTGTGATGCTAAATACCTGCGGTAACAGTTCTTCCCGGTGCTCATCCTGCATTAAGAGTCCCTGGTCACACTGCTAGCTGCTCCCCCACCGGCCATGTGACTCCTCCATAACAGACCCTGATTTTCAGCTGGGCTCACTGCCACCCAGCATAAAAGCTTCCATCTCAAACCCAGACTCCTATGCAGCTAGCCATGGCCAGGTGACCACGTGTTGGCCATTTCATGCAAACAGTTGTGTCACGCTGGACCTCGGGAAAATTAATGGGAGCCGACTCAGCCATGTGGGGCCCCTTTCCCTGTGCTTCTGCGTCTCCTCCTCCTCAGGCCTGTGACTTGGACCACACAACTGGGACTCCAGCAGCCATCCTGAGGACGCGAGCCGTGTACAGGGATGATGGGTAAAAACTAGGAGCTTGGGTCCTGATGGCACTGCAGAGCTGCCCTAAAATCCTCCAGACTTATTTGCTAAGACAAATACAAATATACCTTGGTTTGGCCAGTTATTTTGTGTTGTTTTTTAGGCTACATACAGTCAAACCTAAACTTAATGCACATTATATATCAACAAAGGACACTATATGCCATACACAGTTCACTGCCAGTGAACTGCAAATGACTTTTTAAAGGAAGTAAACAGGATAATAAAACATTTTAATAAACCACTTTTTACTGAACCTTTATAACAACGATACATTTATCACTAACTACTTTCTCTTTCCCACAAAGACATACTCTTCTCTCTTGGTTCAAAGTCAACTGACACATATAATTCCTAGTATTCTGCCCTCACGTGACAATGACCAAAATCCAATGCGCTGAAACCCCTAATGAAACTGGGGAAACGGGCCAGTGTTCCCCTAATTCTGCAAAACACAAAGAAGTTATGGCAGTCAAACTGGAGGCAATGGGAGAAGAAGTGGCATAATGTTTCTCAAATAATTTTCAAGTCATGCACACACCGTAATGCAGTAAGAACAATGGTGTCACCAAGGCTCCTACTGGATATGTACAATCCCAGACAAACATCCAACAGCAGACAAATTTCAAGGTGCTGCCCCAGCTCCAATGTGAGATTGACAGCAGACATCAACAGCAGCACCAACCATGCACGTTTCTGGGCATTAATTGTCATGACAAGGTCCTTTAAAACACTGCCCTGTGTACAAGTCCAACTCCTGCCACAGCGCACTGCACCTGAAGGCTCCGCCTTGGCAATCCTAAAACTCACTTAAGGACAAAGAAAGGGCCAGAGTTTTCTGTCCTCTGGATTACAGAATGACATTCACGTCTCTGGCCCTCTTCTACAAACACCAGAACTTTGGCAAGGCAGTTTTCCTTCTTCACAAGAGCCTAGATTCCCAAACACAAATCTCATAAAAGGTAAAACCTTGCATGTATAGCTTGAAATTATACTCAAATTCAAAACTTCATCGAGGAAGTGTTAGCTTTTACAATTCTATTACCCTAGCCCAACTTTCTAAATGGGCTCAATTATGTAACATTATAGCATTTTGCCTAGTTCTCCCAACATGATAAGAAAAAAATAAAATAAAGAAAATTCAGCATCTCCTTCCCACTTTCCACTAACACATATGCTTTTTACTCCATCGTCCAAAGCAATCTCTAGGCAGAAATTATTTGAAATGACATCACCAAAAGTTTTAATTTATTTAATACACTTAAAGAATAGAATTTTGGAGGAGGCATGAAAATAACCATATGAGAAAGAGACAGGAAAATGCCAAAGGGTAAAAGAGAAACAAGATTTTGTTTTATGTAACTTAAATGCTTCACATGCATCATATCTAAAATACACACCTAATGTTCCACACTCTTGTGAAGAGGAACTTTTCTATTATTAAGGAGGAGAAAGCCACAGGTGGCAGAGATAAAGATAATAAAGGCTATTTTAAAGTAAAGTGAACAGTATATTCGTATATTTATAAACCATATATGCTTTAAAAATGTCTAGAAGGGGGCCGGGCGCGGTGGCTCACGCCTGTAATACTAGCACTTTGGGAGGCCGAGGCGGGCAGATTGCTCCAGGTCAGGAGTTCGAAACCAGCCTGAGCAAGACCCTGTCTCTACCAAAAATAGAAAGAAATTAATTGACCAACTAAAAAAATATATATATAACAAATCAGCCGGACATAGTGGTGCATGCCTGTAGTCCCAGCTACTCGGGAGGCTGAGGCAGTAGGATTGCTGAGCCCAAGAGTTTGAGGTTGCTGTGAGCCAGGCTGACGCCACGGCACTCACTCTAGCCTGGGCAACAAAGTGAGACTCTGTCTCAAAAAAATAAAAAAAATAAAAAAATGTCTAGAAGGATATCCCAAATGTAATAGTTGTTCTACGGGAAAACATTATAGGTTAACTTTCTCTTTTTATCTGCACTTTTTAATTTTTCTATGACAAACACTACTTACATAATTTTAAAATATATATTTTTTAAAGTAAACAGATTCACAATAGCATCAACAGAAAAGCCACCCATGGAACAGCTTGGAAGAAAACAAAGTCTGAAGGATTTCTGGCCTCAAAGCTGAAGAATGCAGAGAGAGTGGAGTCCCTGGGGCCCCTGCCACCCCCAAAGTCCTTCAACTCAAATGGCCTCCTCCTTGGGACAGGATGCGCAAAGTGATTTTAAGCACATGACATTACGCATCCCCTCTACCACTCGGTTAAGGCAAGAGAGAGCACACAGCACCCCAGAAGAGAAGCGTATTCCTACTCCTGCGGGTTCAGCCAGCGTGACAGTCTGCAGCTTCTACCAGCTCACCATTTAATTATATCTAACACTTGCTTCACAATCCAGTTTATGGGTTCTGGATGTTTAATAAACAGTTACTTCTCAAGTTCCCTGCTAGTAAACATGAGGCAGTTATGGCAATTAATTAGTATCACCCTTGGGCTATCAGAGGTCTATAATGCTACAGGCCAGGTCATGTTCTCCAAATGGACATTGCCACCAAATTGCCTCACAGTTTAAACAGTACTCCTCCTCTTCTTATGGTCCCTTCTGTGATTGGTATCTCAAATGGAGGTGTTTAGGGAGAAATTCAAACAGGTGGTGCAGGTTTGCTTTACCTGTTGTCGCACAAAGAGGAAAACTCTCTTATGATTACATATATACTTCCCTCGAGTGGAAAAATAAATCTATATATTTTTTACACAGATTATCAGAATTACACATTGCCAATTTTACTTGCTGATATGAACTCAAAATTACATCCACCCCCCCGGGTACCTCGTTCCTCTCTTCCTAAACAAATCTCTCCTGGCACCCATGCCCCCCCACATACACATCTCAAAGCAAGGATGGAATGTGTTTGAGCAAGGAGTTTCACTGTCCACTAAGGTTCCACTAGGAACCCACTCCTCCTGATGCCACACACTGAGTCTGCAACTGCTCTTAGCCCCTCCAGCCTGTCTGTTCATACTCACTGTTGCTGGACTTAAGGTCGCGGTGGATGATGGGGACAATGGCCTCATCGTGTAAGTAGTTCATCCCTCTGGCAATCTGCACAGCCCAGTTCACCAGGATGTCCGGGGGAATCCTTTTCCCAGCTAACACTCTATTCAAAGGCCCTCCACGAGCAAACTCCATGACCAAGCAGAGGTTGGGTTCCTTCAGACACACCCCCCTGAGGGCAATGATGTTGGGGTGCTTCAGCATGGCGAAGAGCTTGGCCTCTTGGCGAACATTCTCTATGGTCTGGCTGATGTCCTCATCGGGGTCATGGCGAGCTGCTTTCACGGCCACCTCATCCCCGATCCAGAAAGCACGATAGACCTTCCCAAAGCCCCCGATGCCAATAATCTCTTCCAGGGTTAGCTCCGCAAAATCAATCTCTAACACTGAGAAAGGAAGAAAAAGAAGAAGAACGTCAAAAACATCCTGAAAACACCACGGAACCACCCATTTACCTGGATGGTAAGCATCACAAGTTGCCCTTTTCACTGGGCCTTTCTGTCTCCCCATTACAGGGTACACTCCATAAGGGCAGGAACTGTGATTAAATTATTTTCATTTGCATTTTTCTTAGTGACTAGCACATAGTCGCTAAGAATATTCAATAAATATTCATTAAATCCCACTTGAAAAATCATGCAGAATCCTGGACCAAGACCAACCACTTTAACTAAAGGGAACACTGGGGGAGACCCTTTTTGTGAGACTTGCTCAGCTTTACTGTGTAGCCAGTGTGCAAAGCACACCGTCCAGTGCCAAGGCAGACACACAGCAAGCAAACCACAGTGTGAGAAGAGCTTCTGCAGAAATATGACCAGAGGCTTAGGAAAAGCACCAACTCCACAGCAGAAGAGAGGACTGAGAGGGTTAGTAGGGAGAGGATTCTCAAGGAAGGCAGCATTTGACATGGGCCCGAAAGAATGGAGGGAGGGAGCTCATCAGGCAATAAAGGAAATAAGGGTGGAGAAGGACAATCCAGGCAGAGGGCAGAAAAAGAGCATGAACATGGAGCATGAGAGTATACGGTACACTAGGAACTCCAGGGAGTCCAGTGCAGCTGGGTTAAATGCATCAGGATAGGAGACGAGACCCAAAGCCTTTTTGGGGGTGACCAGGTCATGAAATATCTGAGGGTCTTGAACTTCGCATTGTAAACAATAGAAGGCATGTATCTTTCAGAAGGGGAGTGGTGTTAGACCTGTATTTTAGAATGGAAACCAATACTGGCAGCCATGTAGAATATAACCTGGAGGACAGAAAGCTTGCAGCAAAAGGAACGACTAAGAAGGCCACTGCAGCACAGAGGTCTAAACCTCAGCAGCAACGAATGCGGGGAGTACGGGGTCAATGTGGGAGACTTTCAGAACTTGATTCAACCAGGACCTGGTGACACAGAGACATACAGGAAAGAAGCCTCACTGGAGACGTCTCACTCCAGCAGTGGTCTGTACCCCGGTTCAATCGCTGATGTTCTCAGTATCACACCAGCCACTCATTCTCCTCCCCAAATCCAGCGTTGGAACCCAAGGCACTTGCTTATATCTTTAGCTCTGTTTGGAACGGCTTCCACGGACACATAATAGTAGCTACCAGTGATCATAACTTGGGCCAGATGTAGTATTAAATGCTGTATGAGCAAAGTGAATTTTATGTTTCTCTCCTGAAACCCTGTTCCCTATCTTCTCAGTCTCCTTTGTCTTTACCTCATTGATTCATACTCATCCCTCAGGGCTCAACTTAAATATCAGTTTCACAGAGGAACTTCTCCTAACCCCAAGACCAAAGGAGGTCAGGTCCCCATCAAACACTTCTGTGGCAATTTTCATTTTGCAAGATTCATCAAGGTTCTAATTAATTACTTGTTCAATGCCTGTTGTCCTGCTAGATTGCACGACCCACAAAGACAGAGATTCCCTCTGCCTATTCACCATTGCACTAGCCATGCCGCACATTTGGCAACCAATAGACTGTTTAAATAAAATGAAAAGGAAAAAATCCTCCTCAGTAGGAAACAAACCAAATTCAGATCTGGAAAAAAAATTTGAATTGGACTTTTGGGCTTTCTGAAACAAATATAGAGACAGATCACACTCTACTAAAAAACTAAGAAAACAAAGATATATTTCTGAACTTTTGGCAAGACCAAAAGAGGAACTGCCCACTACTGGCTGTTCCCTTCCTTACTTGGCCAGCCCCATGACGCCTCCATTCGCCACTCAGATGCTGGTGGTTCTAAAAAATCTGTTCTTGCTAATTATAGCACTTCTGTCCTATTATGGGGTTAATATTCATTTGTATTTCATTATACAACTGGCAGTCTGCACAAAGGAGACTCTCAGGAAAAGTTAAGTGGGCAGTCTTTAGGTATACAAAAAGTATAGTTCATCTTGACCCCCAAAGTTCCAAACATTCAAAAGGTTACTGCCTCATCTAGGAGTCTTCCTGAAGAATAAATGGTGGGCAGATAAAATCCTCACAGCAGGCCTTTCAGTACTACAGAGGTCAGAAAGCTAGAAACTACATTTCCCAGCCTCCTTTACAGCTAGAGTTCTGAAGCAAATTAAGTTCTGCCAATGAGATACACAAGATTTGAAAGGCAGAAGTGAAATGACAACCTTCTTCTTCTTCTTCTTCTTTTTATTTTTTTTTAGACATAGTCTCACTGTGTTGCCCAGGCTAGAGTGCTGTGGTGTCAGCCTACCTCACAGCAACCTCAAACTCCTGGGCTCAAGCGATCCTCCTGCCTCAGCCTCCCGAGTAGCTGGGACTACAGGCATGTGCCACTATGCCTGGTTAATTTTTTCTATCTATTTTTAGTTGGCCAACTAATTTATTTCTATTTATAGTAGAGATGAGGTCTCGCTCTTGGCCAGGCTAGTTTCAAACTCCTGACCTTGAGCGATACGCCCGCCTCAGCCTCCCAGAGTGCTAGGATTACAGGTGTGGGCCACCGTGCCTGGCCGAGACCATCTTCTTGATGCTTCTCCTGACAAGCAAGGCTGTAGAGAAGTGGGATTTTTCTGCAATACTATGTCAGTGTCCAATTGCTAGCTCCACAATGTGGAGAGGAATGTTTCATGGCCTAATCTCTGGGCTGCAGATACAACAGGGGGTTCTTGAAGTCAACAGCTTCAACAGCAGCTACTGATGCTGGACCTTCCCAATTAGGGAAGCAGCAGCTTGCTGATAGGCCAGTTCGGATGCTCTGGGAGTTGTCTGTATAGGTCCAGCTGAGAGCCTCTTCTCCCAGCCCTACCAATGATTCTGTAAGTACCTAATTTCCTGCGCTCACTCCTTTTCTTGCTTAAAAATAGCCTGAGTGTTTCTGAGTCCTAAAATGAATCTCAACTGATTACTAATTTTGCCTGATGTCATCTGTATGAATGAGAAAAATATGTCTATGTTAAAGAGAGATTAGAAGCTGTCTTGGAGGCTGGCCATGGTGGCATGTGCTCCAGCTACTCAGGAGGCTGAGGCAGGAGGATCGCTTGAGGCCAGGAGTTCGAGACCAGCCTGAGCAACAGATTGAGACCCATCTCAAAAGAAAAAAAAAAAAAGAAAAATTAGAAAAACCCTCTCAGGGAAATGTATAAGTGAAGAGTCTCCTTGGTTATGGAAGGAAGAAATAGTCATTTTTTTCTACTGGCTTTTACATTGAGGAAAAGATGGGTGACCATTTAAAAATTTGTATTTGTTATCTTAGCTCCTCAACTGAGTATTTAAATTTTCCTTAAGAGAATTAACTGTTGTATTGTCTCTTGTACTCTTCCCTTTTAATCTCTGGTCTGAACACGTGGTGAACACATAGTAGGTGTAAAATATTTATTTAAATGCAGGAGTGGTTAAAAGATAGAATTCAGTACTAGAGTGCTGAAAGGACAGCTCCCCCCGGGGATCTCACAGAAGACAGAAAACCTCTGTGGGGAAGGGAAAGCAATAATCTCTCTTTGGGTAGAACATAAAATCTCAGGTTCTTGCTATTTAGTTAAAGAAATACTACGACTAGTCTCCAAGAAACACATAGAACACAACTTTCAAATAGATAAAACCCGGGAAGAGAAGAGGGAAGGGGGACTTTCTTTTTCCTTCCCTAAGTCCTTTTGGATAGGAACTAAGAACTAGACCTGCAGCAGCAGCAGAGTATGTTCGGCTCTCCTCCCCTTCACTGCTCCAGTCGAGACCTGGTTTTAAGTAAGAATCAGGTCGAGTTGCATTCAGCACATTTTTCAGTTTCTGTGGAAGGGTATTTCCATGAATATCAGGAACAAAACCTTATTTCTTGCATTTTTGGAGTCTAAATGTGATTCTTTCCCAATTGTATGCCTGGAAACTGAATGAATGTATAGGCACATTCTGGTGGGCAAGTGAATGGTATACACTTCACTCATTTGAAAATCTTACGTACATCTGAAAATACATCCTTATATTTCTAGTGGATGTAGGAAAGAGAAGTATGAATTAATAATAACCTTAATGTATGCCCTGTTTGAAAATAGACACAACTTTCTTATAAATGAGAAACTTTTTTTAACAGCTAGAATTATGTCTCCCAAGATAATAAATTTTAAACTGCACATTTTTCATCTTTCACTAAAATAAAGAGACAAGTAAGCCCCTAAGTTATTTGTATTTTTCATCCATAGAGAGCTAAACTCTAATACATATCTATATTGGAGGGGATAAAAGCACTATATAAATGTAAGATGGTTTATAGTATCACTACTATATGTTTTGTCACAAAATTTAATAATTTCCCCTCTGATTTGAATAAATTTTGAAACAAATTTTCACTTCAAAAAGCAATAATATGAAACTAAAACCAAACATTATTGCTTAACTTACTGTCTTCCATTTACAATCCACAATATATCACATTGCAGGCCCAGAGGGGAAGTTCAAAAGGTAACTCTGGGGAAGAGTTGTCAGTGGTTCAACTTTATTCCAAGTCTTTGGAGACCAGGTTTGTTGATCACTTTATTTCCTGAGTGATACTAACAGAACTGGTAGACAGTGCATGCAGATCAGAGATGCACCTGTCAGCACTGCCCATATTCATCTTTATCAAAGCTCTGGACTGAAATTTTATATTTACATTACCAATCTCCCTTATGTGACTTATGAGCTCCTCCTTATCACTTCTTTATCCCCTAGTATTTAACACAGTACAGTATTTGTCATTCATTAGGTACTCAATAATTAGTTTTTGACCGGAATTAAATTTTCTGAATTAACAAGATTCATTCTAGTCAAGAACAGAACTCTTGGTGGGGCCAAATAAAAAACTTACCAGGCCTTTCTTTTCTTTTTCTTTTTTTTTTGGGGGGGGGACAGAGTCTCACTTTGTTGCCCAGGCTAGAGTGAGTGCCGTGGCATCAGCCTAGCTCACAGCAACCTCAAACTCCTGGGCTCAAGCAATCCTTCTGCCTCTGCCTCCCAAGAAGCTGGGATTACAGGCATGTGCCACCATGCCTGGCTAATTTTTTCTATATATATTAATTGGCCAATTAATTTCTTTCTATTTATAGTAGAGACGGGGTCTCACTCTTGCTCAGGCTGGTTTCGAACTCCTGACCTCGAACAATCAGCCCACCTCAGCCTCCCAGAGTGCTAGGATTACAGGCATGAGCCAGTGCGCGCCCAGCCTACCAGGCCTTTCAAATGCCATACTCTTCAAGTCAATTCTTTCAAAAAGCATGAGGTACTTCCTTCTTTCTTATCCTCTGGGTTCCAGATTTAGAAATCCACTCTAGCCAAGGTAACTTTTGTTGCAATAAAGGTCACCTAATGAAGAAAGTGTTGCCATGCCTGGCTGTCTGAGGATAGGTTCTCTCAGCCTAAGTCATGTTCTCTCCTGACTGCTCTGACAGCCAGAAGCACAAGATATTAAAGAAACTGAGTTTCTGCTCACTAACCTCTCATAGCTCTTCTACTTTGACATCAGCTATCCCTAAAAACAAAATTACCAAACTTCACCCACAAAGAACCTCAAAATCAGACTTATGTTTAAAATTACACAGTGTTTTCTAACATGCCAGACTATTCATATTTCTTCCAATATATGACTACGTTCATTTTCAATACTATTTCAAAACACTATGCCAGGACCCTTAGCTTTCATCTCACCAGAACCAGGATCAAAATGATGGAGTACCTGGAAACAATTTAAAATAATGTGTTACCTCCAGGCATTATAAAGATCAAAATGTAGAAATGTGAAGTTTTCAGTTGAATGAGAGGGGGAGAGAAACAAAGGAACTAAAGATTTGAACATCAATCTGACAGTCAAAACACCAATACAAGAAGAAGATCAGAAAAACAAGGAAAGAGGTTATGATTTTGATATGAAGTACTGGTACGTAAAAACCATCTTAGATAAAGTAACACAATTGTTCAGGTGAAAATAAGTTACAGGGCCAGAAAAACAACTGTTAAAGTGAAATTTTTAAATTTCACTTATTTAGTTATAAAGTTGGTCCTTGGTAATAATTTTTTTTTAAAAAAATCAACATACAAAGTATACAAAATAAGGAATAAACTGTAATAAATATATATTAACAATATCTTTTTTTTAGTATATGTGCTGCCGAAGCGAGCACCAACAATATCTTTTTAACAGGGAAAAATTATGTAGATTCTCAAATACAAAATAGTATAAGCTGTGCTAGTAGATATTTACATCTTTCTTCTGAAACGACCTAGTATAATTGATTAAGGGAATCTGATGGCAATTTAACTTCTTTGAAAAAAACAAAAGAAATTCCATTACAGGGTGTGGAATAGGGGCCTCCTGGGAAATTGAGGGAAATGAGGACACTGGGAGAAAGGGTCTGGGAGGGACCCCTGGGCATGGACCCCCTGAGATTTGGCCAGTTCCAAATATAGGCAAGGATCTAGGGTGAGAAGAAAGGAGAAAATGTATTGCCTGAACAGCCTGGCTGCAAGGGACTGGGATTTCACCAATGTACCTTGTACTCCTGATCTCTCATGGGGGAACGACATACTTTTCCCTCTCTAATCATGTGTCCATCCATCACCTGTTTCCCTCACCCCCAACACACACACCTTTCTTAGCACAACTTCTGAGATACAGGATTAAGATCCAAGAAATCAACACCTTTTAAAGGTACTTCAGCCTTGAGTTCACACGTTTCCGGGACTTCGGGATCAGCCCAGCCCAGCCCAGCGGGAGACACCCCCACCTCTTTAAAAGCAAATGCCTTTCAGGGGTGGAGACAGGTGATAGAAGACATTGGCTAGGTCCCCGATTTGGGGACTAAGATTAGGACAGTAACCACCAGCTGGCCAGAAATCCTTCCAGACTTGGGAGAGGGGGCGGGTGGGAGGTCAGGGAGGAGAGGAAGGGAGTGGGAGACAGGGAGATCCCCTGCTCGGGTGAAAATCAGAAGCTGCAGTAGAGGTAGCCGCAGGAAGGTTAGGAAGCCCAACCGCCCTGAGGTTCCAGGCAGGGCCTGCGGCGCCTCTATTACCCATTGCACCAACTAAGGCTCCCGCAGCCCCAGCGCGCGCGCACCCACCCACACCCAGGTCAGGCATTTCCCCACCCCAGCCCCCCACCCCTACCCTAACCCTGGCGAGGCTCCCCTCCCTCCCGGCCAGCCCTCGGCCTCCATCCTTCCCCTCCCCGCCGCGCTCCCGGCCCCGCCTTCGCCTTACACTGAATGGGCGGGTAGCAACTGGGGTCGTCGCCGCCGGGCTGGCAGCGGCTGGAGAAGGCGCTGCGCGGGGTCACGTAGTTGCTGGGGAAGATGCCCACTCGCTGGTTCAGCTGCCCGGTCCACCAGCCCTCGTCGCCGGACACCTGCGAGTCCTTGGACAGCACTTCCACCACGTCGCCCAGCCGCAGGGTCAGCTCGTCCTCTCCAGCCGCCTCGTACTCGAACACCGCGGTCCAGTAGGGCAGCGGTGCGTCGGAGCCCAGCTCTCCGGGGACCGCCGCCGCCGCCTCCTCCTCCTCTTCCTCCTCCTCCTCGGCCCCGGCCCCCGCTCCGTCCTCCCCCGGCGGGGCGGCAGCGGCGGCGCTCGCCAGGCAGCCGAGAAGCGCTCTGGAGGGCTCCATGGAGCGGCCGATCCATAGGGTGCGGGGCTGCCGCCGCCCGCAGGAGCCGCCGCTGCCTATTGTTCATGCGGCCCCGCGGAGCTGGGAGGACCCCCCTCCCGCGACGGTGGCCGCAGGTAGGGCCCGGGCTGGCGGGGCTGGGAGAGCCGGCTCGCGGGGCTGGCGCGGCGACAAGTGCGCCGGGCGCGAGCGCTCACTGCAGCATAGTGGCGCGGCGGGCCGGAGTCCCCGCCTGCCCGCTCGCACCCCCGGGCGGCCTCGCCACCTCCGCCTCCGGTACCTGCCCGCGCAGCCGGTGCCCGCCGCCGCCCGCCGGCCGCCGCTCCCCTCTCCGCCCCGCCCCCAGCACCGCCCGCTCGCCGAGGCCACCTGACGTGAGCCTGGCTCCGCCCCAGCCCTGCGGACCCGAAGGGGCGCGGCCGCCCGGCGCCCCGCCCGCCCCCCGCGCAGCCCGCCTTCCCATTGGCCGCGGCCGGGCCGTGCACAGGTTCCTCTCGCCGCGGTTGGAGCAGCCGGGCCAGCCACCGCGGCCACCCCGCAGGTCCCCTCCACCTCCGCCCCTCCGGCGCGCCGCCCACCCCCGCCCCCTTTGCGGGCTCCCTGGTTCTCAAACCCCGGCCGACCCATTTCTCTCTCCCATTGGCCCGCCGCGGCGCAGCCATTGGCCCGCGGTACCTGCCCATTTACCGGGAGAGCTCGACACCTCCTCGCGGGAGGCGGCCTGGGCCCCATTGGATGCGCGAGCAGGGAAGGTAAGGCTGAGCCTTCATTCCGACCGAAAAGGCTGGAGGGGAGGCCGCTCCCTTTGTTTGCCGCGGACGGGCCGGGGCTCCACGGGGCTGCAGCGGTGTTCTCCAGCCCAAAGGGCCTCCTGAAACGGAGCGGAGGCGGAGCGAGCTGGGCGGCACCTCCCGAGAGCGCCTTCCTCCCCAGCGCCCGATTTACTGTCGGATTCTCCGCTCTCCGGGATCTGGTGGGTCAGCTTCCGCTCCCGCACGCACGCTCCCACCCGAAACCTTCCACCTCCTGAGTAAGACTCCGGCTCCTCGCAGTGCTCGTTCGAGGAACTCCGCAGCTCTCTCCCTTCTCTGAAGACTGCACACAGCTCGCCTGTCCTGGACCCCTGTAAGAAGGAATTCCAATGCCGTCATTTTATTAGAATTTAGAAAGGCAAGAGGCCACCTTACTGGTGCTTCAAGCTGAGACTGGGAACGCCGTCGTGAAATACGCTTGGTCTCTCAAAAGAATCAACTTTTCTACAATCCTAGAGTTCTCGTTTGCCTTGTGAATTGCACTTCGGATCATGGTGACGTCTGTAGAGATCAGATAAAGAAGAAACAAAACAGAACATATATACAGAAACGATGCTGCAGTTCTTGAGCAAGGGCCGACCTCTTCCTACATTCCTTTATTATGCTCCGTATTTCGTACGCTAAGAAAGAAGGCGATAGGTGGCCCCTAATGTTTCTTCTGTGCTTTAATCCCATCATAGCAATGTCCACTTCCAGTAAGAAAGGGTCTCTGATATTTCAAAACAAGCCAGTGCTGTTGGATCTATCCCAATCTCTACCAAACTTTGTTATTTTATCCCCTTCGGTAGTAGGAATAGACACGATTTATTTAGCAAGAGTTAGTGTTTTTGCTTAATTTTAGTTTGGGGCTTATTATTAGAGTAACTGAAGACAGGTGGGGCAGTTTGGAAAAGTTACCAGACAGCTGCATGCCCCTGGGAAAGTGCTTAACACTGTGTTGTAGTCTGCTCATCCTTAAAGTGAGGGGAGTGATCTGTGTTCTCATAGCCTGCACATTCTGTGGTTTGCACACAAATATGGTTACAGCGTACACCCAGGCGTCCCACACATTTGAGGTCTTATAGAAGAGAGGGGAGATGGCCGGGCATCCTGGCTCATGCCTGTAATCCTAGCACTCTGGGAGGCCAAGGTGGGAGGTTCACTTGAGGTCAGGAGTTTTAGACCAGTGAGACCCAGTCTCTATAAAAAAAAATAGAAAAACTAACTCAAGAGCGAGACCCAGTCTCTACAAAAAAAAAATGTAAAAACTAGCTACACGTGGTGGTGTGTGTCTGTAGTACCAGAAACTGAGACAAGAGATCCCTTGAGCCCAGGAGGTGGAGGTTGCAGTGAGCTATGATGGCACCACTGCACTCTCGCCTGAGCAACCAAGCAAGACTTTGTCTCGAAAAAAATAGAGAGAGAGAGAGGAGAGAATGTTTTAATTTGGGGGGAAAAGTTTTATGAACTGGGTGTAGACACAGAGAAAAACAGAAACAGGAAAAATACTAGAAAGAGAAAAATGTCAGTGGTAGGTCTCTTTAAGTAGCAGGATTATGAGAAATTGAGTAATTTTTATTGTCATTTTCTTATCTGTAATTTTGTTGTTCTACTATATATAGTTTTGTGGATTCCTGCCCCCCTCCCTGGGAGAAGAAAAGGGCAGGGGGAAATCCTTGATCCCTCTCAATAGGAAAACTCTAACTCCCTGTACAACTAAATCTTTAATACCATAGCATATGTTTAGGATCTCATGAAGAGTCATTCATCAAACATCTCAACAAGTCATTCAGGAAATATCTGTTGAATGCATAAGTGCTAGGAATTCAAATGAGGGAAGATCCTTCAGAGCAAAGTTGTCTGGAAGGGCTTCATGGAAGAAGGTGAACCCGAACTGGCCCTGCAGGGGTCATGGGTAAAGCAGGGAAGTCTGTTCAGGAAAGGAGGGAGGGGGTGGGCACAGCCACAGAGGTAGGAAAACATGGAAAGGTGGGCCCATTTGGATGGAATAGAAGGATGAGAAAGAACTCTGAAAAGATAGGTTGAGACCAGATTGTAGAGGGCTTATAATTTCTTGATTCACACTAGTAATTATGTAATTGATCATTTGTAATTATTTAATGTCCAATGTGTTCACCATAAGGGTGGAGACCAGTCAGTCTGGTTCTCCCAGCACCTAGAGAGCGCTTAGCACATAATTGATTCTCAGTACATATTTGCAACTGGATGGCTCACTGGAATACCAGGCTAAGAAGCCTCAGTTTTGTTTAGCAGATAAAAAGGGTTATAAATGAAAGGTTTTGAGCAGGGCTGCAAGGTGATCAAATATTTCCTTCACTGAGGACTAGAATGGATGAAGAATGGATGAGAAGATGCTTATGGTTGGGCATTGAAGGATATATACAACTTCATTAGTAGAAAATAGAAGGTGTGGAAATAGAAATTAATATAATGGGTAGCAATGATAAAAATCCCAGCCAGAGAAGAAGGGAGAGTGCAAAAAGGGAGTGATGAGAAATAAAATTGACCAAGTAAAAGAATGGCAGATTGTAAAAGACTTTGGAAGGCATGCAGAATTACCAAGATTTTGCCACTATTAGATTTTGAGCAGGGCACTGACAAATGTCACCCAAAAAAGGGAACATTTTCTCTACCCTGAAAGGTACAGCATAAGGTGGGGAGAAAATAATAGCAAGCAGTGATGCAAGTTGGCATTAGACTTAAGTCAACATATCATGGTTTATCCTGGCTCTGTCCTTTAAAAACTGTGTGACTTTGGGCAAAATACCTGTTTGAACCTCAGTTTCCTCATTTTTAAATAGGTGTAATGATAATAAAACCTGATTTTTAATGGATGTTTATAGGGTTACATGAGGCAAGACATACAAAAGCTCTTAGCATGCTGCTCACACCTAGTAAATATTCGACATATTTATTTCCTTCTTTCATCTGCCCATTAGTCTCAGAAACACCCTTTAATTGCCCCTAGAAAATGATAGAGGCCTCTTGACTGGAAGTTGGATCTAAGGTTTTTCCCTAAAGAGAGAGAGAGAGAGAGAAGGAAGGAAAAAGGGACAAAAAGGAGAGGAAAAGGGGAAATAAGGAAGGCGGAAAGAAAGGAAGGAAGACAGGGAGGAAGGGAAAGGAAGGAGGAAGAAAAAAAGGAAAAGAAAGAAAAACAGAAAAGAAGGGAGGGGAGGGAAGGAAGGAAAGAAAGAAAAAGCATCATGGACTAATGATAAAGAGCCAGGGGTCTGGGACCCTGACTGAATTTGAATCTATGCTTACTGTCTGCCCCATACCCTCATCCAGAAATTAGGGATAATAGTATCTATCTCCCTGGCCTCTTGGAATGATTAAATGACGCCATTTATGTAATGTGCTTAGCACAGAATCTAGCATGTGGTTGCTGTTATTATTATTTGAGCCTAAAATATGACTTAGTAAATGAATGTCACCCTCTCCTTGGTTCTTTTAGAAAATATTTCAAATCAGTATTTTGATGCTAAAATCCCTCAAGCAGATGTTGACGTTTTCTAAAAGAGCCAGCGCACCCCTCTCACCTCTCATGTTATACGCTTCCAGGAAAGGACCCCAAGTTCCTGATTTGTAAACTCCATTTGCATTAAATGTGATTTTAAGCAGCTGGTTGGGAAGGGTGTATGCTGGAGCTGATGGAACTGAAGCTTTGGAGTCACACAGACTTGAGTTCAAGTTCCTGATCAACTAGTCGTGAGTCTGGATGGGGCACTTCACCTCTCTGAGCCTCCATTTCTATGAGATTGTGTAAAATGGGGTTGTTTCGCAGGTCAGATGAAGTAAGTGTCCTGGCAGTGCCTAATGTTAAATACATAATAGGTGCTTAATACATTAATTGTAAATGTTCTCATTGCAATGGATAGCATTTTAATTCTTGTCTTCTGTGGGTTCATTTGGCTTGAATCATCAAAATGGCAAGAAATTTTCCCTCCTTTTCTTCTTCTCCTTTCTATCTCCTTTGAAAACTTCAGTTGAGAAAAGGAATACATTATGGGGGGCTGATTAGAATGTCACATCTCTGGAGCTATTTGCATTTTAACATGATCAGAGCCCTTACTCAAGGAGTGAAGGTCAAGTAGAAGGTCTGCTTCATCCAGCCTAGTGTCAGAGTGAGCCCATGGGACAGCTATGAAATTACAGTGCTTAAAACCACGTTGAGTCTGCAAAGACTACATTTCAGCCTTTCAGCCAAGGGCTGCAAATAGGTCCAGTCAAAAGAAGAGTGATTCCATTAATGATAACTATCCCTACAATTGGGGTTTTGGGGGTTTTTGAACAACATGTATTGATTAGAAAAATGATCATATAAAGAGGGAAAAAAGGAAATCTATCTGTTATAATTTTAAAATAATTTTTAAATAAATTTGAAAAATTAATAGAAAAACTGGATATATAATATATGCCTAATTTTATGAAAAATGCTTATGCATTAAT